CTGAGCAAATTTGCATGAGAAAGATGCGAGGCACTCTGTATTGTTATATGAGAGATGGTAGAGACCCATACATTTATCTAGCGTAACGCTCCTTATCCTGAAAACATTGTAAAGTTTTCTTCTCCCATTGTTTGTCACAAAATCCCCTAAAGCTACAGATACGTCTGTCTTTGTCCCAGAAAATTCCTTTGAAGCTTGAATTGAGCTTAAGCACGTATAGAATCGCAGTTTTCTCCTCACTTGAAAAATGCCCGTCCCGTTGGTTCACGGCACTGCAAAGAAAAAGCAACATGTATTCCTGCACAGGCAACGCCAAAGGCTTGCTACACAGAAAAGTAATCAAGTAATCAGAGATATTCCCACACTACATCTTTCCAAGCAGAGCGCGTGGATTAAGTGATTCATTTTTACTCCCCCGGGGGTTTGGAACGCAGTCCCTTAGTTCCAGGAGGGAGCAGAACCAGACCGCTTGGGCATCTCCCCTGATTTCTTTCTGCTCCCAAACCATCTGCTTCTCTGTGGTAATAGTCTTCTGCTGTTTGTTAACCTAGTTAATCCTCTAGCATAAGCAGTAGTAATTTATGCTGGATGTTTGGGTTTCACATGGTACTAATGGTATCTAATGAACTGTGGCTACAGAAACATCTGTTCTATACAAGAGTTAATTTTTTTTTCTTTTTTTTTTTTGATCCTGGTGATTAGATAAACAAAAAATAGTTAGGAGCTTTTTAGGCTGCAGAGATTAGAACTCAAAACTTGAGTACTGAAATAGGCCAGATTTAACATTACCCATGCAACTTTAATTTAGCTCCCACGTGTTTATCCATTGCTGGATGTTGATGCATGTTATTACTCAATGCTTTTTCACAGAATACTTACCAAATGAAAAAGGGGCTGAAGGAAGGTTTAATAGGACACCTGTAAGACTGCAGTATCCTCATTTAAGCATATGACTAGAAGCTAGAGAACATCTCTTTATTTAATTTTGTATGTAATATTTATATGCTACAATTGAGCAATATGGCAGAAAAATCTATGCAAGAATTCATTTACAAGTGAGAAAACTGCAAAAATTGAAACTAAGCTATTAATATTAATGAAGGCTATGCTCCAGAAAAACGTGAGTGAGAAATGGGATATGCTAAAAACAAACAGTAATATACTGTTTGTACTTAACAAGGAAAGTAAGAAGAGCAAAGTGCTACTTAATTATAACGTTGCAGAGTTAATAATGCAGTAGAAATCTTAGCGCTTTCTAATTTGAGTGCTTTATTTCTCAGTCTTAATGTTGCAGTAATGCAGCTTCCAGATTTAATTTCCTTCTATTTATTTGTTTTTAGCAGCTCAGAAGGCAAATAAGAGAAACGCATTGTGAAACCCCTGGAATGAGATCTTAGTGCTACTAACATGCCTTACACTTATAAAGTTGCTGATTGCATTTAGAGTCACCTCAACAGCGCTAAATCATTTCAACAGTTTACTCTTACCTCCAGTGTCATTAAAGTTCTCCAAGTTTAGGAAATGCATTTGAAAAAAACAGAACAAAAAACCTCATGTTTCTGTATGAAAATGTCACCTCATAACATCCATAGCTTTAAAAATAAAAACCAGATTTTCTTCAGGCGTGAACCCTTTATCCTTCCCCTGTGGGACTCTAAAGGAGCTATTTAAACTCATGTGATCGTGCACTTAAAGGCTGGGCTGACTCAGCAAAGTGTTTAACTATGTGTTTAAATTCTATTGCGATCAATAGAATTTGAGCATGTGCTTAAATATTATGTTGAAAAGGAATGGATTTACACACGTGTTTTAAAGCTAAGCATGTACCAAAGTAGGCCCATAATACGTCGAAGCAAGTCAGAAGAATTCAGGTTGTAAAAGCCCTAACTTTGGGGTGGCTGACTTCATAAGTAAAATATTTTGATATAATTTTTATATATAATCTAAAATATAAAGCACAATGCTGTAGTTGTTATGCTCTGTGAATTGGCTAACATAGGATAGTTTATGTGTCAGTTTAAAATACATATGCCAAAATTAAGAACGCTTCCAGCTAAATATCTGAATGTACATTTTCTGCTCTTGAAAATAGTTTGCTTTTTTTTAGTTACTGAAGTATTTGAACTCAGAACTGTGAATGCTACCTTTAAAAATGCAGCTGCATATATAAGAAGTTTTAAACACGTACGGGTACCTAATCCCACACTCCAGCATTTTCCATGTTCTGACCTGTTTTTAACTTATTCCCCCAGTGTTTCCCTGTAATACGAGACTTGATTATTTTGAGGCGCTGAATCACTAAACAGGGTCATGTTTGGTTGGCTCAAGGGCATAACCAATTCCACTTTTTTATTTACTTCTGTCTATAAAAAGCTATTTCTGCGTTAGAGATTTCTGTTTCTACTGGTGATCTCCCTTGCACTCGTCTTAAATGTCTTCTGCCCTGCACCATCCCAGTGCCACGTATTTCCCACAAAACATTTGGGTATTTTTATTTTCAAGAGAAGAATGTTCACAGTACCAAATTGTCAGCTGTCAGTAGTACGATGGTTATGTGTGATGTTCATCCCCCGTCGTGCACTGTAACACCCTACCTGTCCCTGTGCTGCCATTGCCGACGTCCTTGCCCCTTCGCAGAGCTGGGTGTATGCTGTCTGCAGAGCCTCGCCGCTTCCCCGGGAGGAGTGCTCCTGGGGAAAACTGGGGGCAGGGAAGAGAGGAGGCAAGGAGAGGGGGGCGTTCAGCGGTGGTAGGTGCTGACTTGTGGATCCTGTAGGAGAAGCCCCGTTGTCAGCTGCTGCGGTCTCCGTCTGCCCAGGGGACAGATCCTGACTCTCAGCAGGACCGGGTCATTTGGCACACGGAGGAAGCAAAGGTTTTGAATGATGGAGGAGACTTGAGCCACAGACCTCCCAGGTGCCATTGAGTATCCAAATGTCACAGGAGCGCCACAGTACCTTGTTATTGTGAGTCTTTTCTTCGGTAACACAATTGTGAGAAGTTTAAAAAAACAATATTGCCCTTGGCTATGATCTAAAATGTTAGTTGAGGAGCAGACAGGCAATCCTTCACCAAAACGCAGAACTGAGCCTCAAGTACTGGGCAGATTCTTGAGTCTTCGCTAGCAAAAGGTGCTGGAGATAGTTCAGAATTTGGTGGATTTCTAGAAAGCTCCGAGATGACCTCTGTATTGGCTTCTCGATTATAGTGAGGAATCACATCTCTGTGGCCGCTGTTGCTCCTCTAGAGCAGGGACATGGAAGGGAACTCGTAATTTTGGTAGGTGAGTGGTCAGGCTGCTGTACCATATACGTAGGTAAGTGACAGGCTTTGATCACCTGCGTAACAAGTGCTGTAAGGCAGAGCAGGACCCAGAGAAGTAAAGTACCATCTGTAACAGTGAAATGAAACTTATCTAAGTGTAGGGATATTAATCAGCAAACAAGATATGCAACTTTTGAAATACCATTATGAAAAATAAACTTCACATAGCATGCATGAAACCTGCCAAGACAGAGAGGAGCATAGTGCTGTCGTCTGATACTCTGTCAAACGCTGCTCTTCTGAAAGCACATCATCTTGTAAAACTGAGAAAGACGCCGTGCAAATTGCCTAATGCTTCTAAAAATAAGTGTGAGCTGCTCAGCCGCTCTCCAAATTTTAGCAAGTCAACCTAATAGTGCATCGTTGGTAACCGTGTCTAACATGCTGTGCCACAACTGGTGACTTACTATAAGAATTATATCAAGCATGCTAAATATGGAAAAGCAGCTTATAACTGCACGCACAAAACCCGTTCCCTCATTAACATCTGCCCCCACCCTCTGCTCCCCCCCAGCCCTGTTAGCTTCAGAAATCGCCACTCCCGAGGCGGCTGCAGGTCCTGCAGGGAGCAGGCAGCAGCCCGGCTCCCCCGCCAAAGCCAACTGCGGCGTAGCCAGAGAAACGGGCAGCAAAAATAGAACAGCAGGATGGCTGCGTGTGGGCGAGGCAGAAACCACATCGCCAGCAAAACCTCCCGGCGTTATTTTAGGACCGATACAGCGGCCGTGGCGTTTTGCTCGCTTTTCACAGAATACTCCCCGGGGGAGGGCAAGGAGGGATTGGGGCGCGAGTCCCGGGCAAGGAGCGTTTCTCTCCTGCTCCCTGCTTGCCTTCCTCCCTCCCCGGCTTCTCCCCACCGAAACGGGCTGGGCAGGGGGAAGGGGTTAATCGCGCTCGAGGCCGAGCGGCGGAGGGAGGACCGCCGACGGTTTGAAAGACAGAGACTGGACAGCTGTGTTTGCTGTGGTATTTTTAAACGCATTAATGCAGGCTCCAATCACCCGGCCATGCTTGACCTATTTTTGGCTCAGGCCGGCCATTGTTCTATTTCTGCCGCCGCTGGGCCACGCGGGTGTCAATTCAAATGCAAATGAGTTATCGCTGCTGCTCCCGCCAACTTCGCCCAGCCGCCCGGCCAGGGCAGAGCTGGCCAGGGAGAGGAGAGGGGCGCGGGGACAGCAGCACTGGTCCGGGCTGGGGTAATTCAGGCTAAACCCTCGGGGGGCCCACGGTCCCTGGAAAGGTGGCTTATGCGGTTTGATGGTTTGTAAGAGGCTGTGTTTCCCCCCCGCCCCGCCAGAAAGCTCGAAGCGCGGAGATATTTCTTCATTTCTTCTTCCACCTGCCGTTGGCTGCCCGAACACAACTGCTCAAACTCGGCGGCGCACAGCCCCCTGCGCGCTCGCAGCTCCCTTCCAGCGGGCGGGGGCTGCCGAGAGTGGATTTGGGGTTTTTTCCCCTCTCCCGATAGATACTTGTGCAAATGCTTAAACATTGCTAATTGCCGAAGCGTATTATCTTACAACCCTCGCTGGAGGAGGTAGGACCGCAGAGGGTCGTGCCCGACACCCCTGTGCAAGTGCAGTGATGAATCTCTCGTGTAGCTGAAGTGCAGACTGGTTGGAATATGCTGCAGACAATTTACGAGAGTGAATCGTGTTTTTCCTCAGATGGGGTTTCTGGACGTGAACAGCTCTTGGCTCAGCAAAGAATGCACAGTATGATCAGCTCAGGTAAGAGACAGCTCCGTACCTCAGACTTCAGTGGCTGACCAGGAAGATACAGCCTAGCGCGACGAGAAAACACCCCTCCTTTAACGAAGTGACTTTATTTTTGTGGGCTTTATGTAAGTTGTTGTTAAATAATTACCTCCATGATAGTATGTTAGCTAGCAGCTGCTGCTTTTGCAGGGAGTTTGCCTCCTTCAGTCTGCTGAGCAGCCAGAGCAAAATGGTCACAACTGAAATCTAGTTTGGGATTCCTTGTTTGTTTTGTTGCGTGGTTGCAAAATGGGGCTCGTGGTACAGCCTTATTCACAGGGAGAGGCTTCCTCAGACAGACCTTGTCAGGAGGCTGCAGTCAGAGCCCCTCGTAGGCAATTCTGGTCATATGTCTATTGTAAACAGGATTCGGGCTTTCTCTGAGTTTCCTTTTCTCCAGTTTGCATACAACGGGAGTTTAATACTAATCCCTTTCTCTTTTCATTACAGTGTTACTTTAAAATGCCTTTAATATGCATGGCTTATTTTGTTACTTTAAAAGTATTTGTGAACCTGGTGATGGTAGTCATATGTAATGACTCACTGAGATGTAAATTGGATGTGTTTTTTAATGAAGATATTTCAAAATTGCTCTGAAAGAACACTGGATGTTCCCTGAAGCTACGCTTGTATTTTCTAGTTTCTTTGCTAGCTGTGTTTGAGACCTGCAAATAATGTACTGAGGATGAATTATGTTGGAAGAATTGTTGCCATTCAGATAAAATGTCAATTTAGACAGGCTAAAAAAGTCAAAATTTCAGGTTACTCTTGCTCATTCTCTCTTAAACTCTGTGAATTCCAGTTCAGTTTTTATTGGGCTGAAACTCTGTCTTTTGAGGTGCAATGTTATCTGGTTTAGATCTTTTTTATATCTAGGTTTCTGACTTCGTTTTTCATAAAGTTGGCTTTATAAAGAACCTATATGCAGAATGCAGGGTGAATTGTTTACATGTACTTTAGTCTTAGTTGACCCCCTCCCCCCTTTTTTTTCTTGTTCTTTCACAAAACTTGGCAGTGCTGTTCAGTTTTTAAGATTAATTATGTGTGTAGACCACAGCTCTCTTCATGTATTGCCTGTTTTGGTACACCTGTTGAGCCCATGTTTGTTTGTTTTTTAAAAAAAACCTGTTTCTTTTCCTGCTTTATAGAAAAAGAACTTAAAGTTTTACCTGTGTTTCTTTCTTACATACAATTTTAGAGCAGATTTTGAGTTTCAGGTATGAAAATAACTTGTGAGAGATTGTGTCAAATAATAATATCTTTCCTGTTAGAAAAGACTTAGATATGTCTTCACCTCATGATTAGTGTTTTTCAATATCGAAAGCCAAGGCTACCTCATAATGATTACAGACTGAAGGCGGGAATGAGAGATTGAAAAGCTATTATGTGCAGGTTAAAATAATGAGAATATCTAAGGGGAGTGGAGACTTCCAAGTGGTAATGTTTAAGACTGGCATTTTTTCTATTCCTTTATAAAGCTGCTGGGTTGGTTTGTTTCTTTTTGGGTCTCTCCAAGAATTTACTATTTCTCTGACTTCTGAGAATAGATGTTGACCACCAATTACAGTTTGTTTGTCAAGGACAGAAATCAGGTGAAAAACTTGTTTACAAATATGAACAACGAAGCTCTAGCAAAGACAGTTGCTAAAAGCAGAAGTTTCTCTGAAAGTGTTATAGTTCTGCAAACCATCTACAGTGTCGACCTCTTGTTCAAGAATTATTGCTTTTCTTTGGTTTTCCTGAACAGCTCAGCAGGTGTCCAGTGCTTTTGTATTGGTCAAAGAGATAAGACTGACTGCTTCCCCTCCCTCCTGTTGGTTTTGTTTAATACTATGTCAAGTTGAAGTTAGCTGTACGCAAGTGAAAATCTGTTTTTGTAGCTCACTATGCTACCTTGTAACTGCCAACTAATGTTGCTTGAGTAATAGCAATTTTCTCATTTGAAACACAAGAAAGGGTGGTAATTTTCTGTAAGTTTATAGCTCTGCTTTTCTTCACTGGAGACAAGAATATCATGTAACAGTTGATTTTTATCTGATACTACCTTAGGCCCGTATAACATATACAATTTCTCCTGTAGTACCAAGTAGAATAGAAGGGGTTTTTAGACTTTTTAAAAAAACCAACTTAGTCAATAACATTAGCAGGTAAAAGATGTTTAAATATGTATTCTGTAGAACACAAAATATTCCTCAGTGTTTCTGTTGGCCTTTAAAATACACAACTAGACTGCAAGTAGTTGACATTGTACATAGTCTGCAGTTTAATTTATATCACATGAAACCACAAAGCCTGGTGCTGCTGTCGATTGCCTTCAGTTCCCTCGAGTTCAGGGTCTTGCAGGATCAGGCCTGGTAACTTCTCAGGTACTGCCTCCCTCTATGCTGCATGTAGGGGGGAAAGAAATAGCCAGGGTATGATGATATGCTCTAGTGTTTGGAGTAGCTAGAATCAGTCATTTGAATTTTGTTTATCACAGTGTCGTTACTTTAAAGTTAACTTCACTTACATGTATGTGACTTTTGCTCAGGTTAAAAAGTTGCACATATTTAAGAACGGAGCAGATCCCTGCACATGTACACTCTGCACCCTTTATATTCTTGAAGTCTTTGAAGCAAGCACAACTTAAACAATGGATTTTTAGGTTTGCTAACTTCCAGGTGCAACGGGCATGCATTATGCAACTCTGATTTTAAACTGGGCTGGAGCCATCCCCAAAGAGGACGGATTCAATGGCCAATGGATACGTATTTGCAAAGCAAACTGTCTAAGAATTTCTGACAATAGCAGGCATAGGAAATACTTCTGTCATATGAAGCAGTTCTTCTGGTATTCCCTCAATTACTGACTGCTTTGCCTGTCTGTCTCCATCCCTGCTTGTAAATCATACTATGAATGAGATGATCTGGATAGGTACCAATCAAAAGTCTAATTATGAATGGAGCAATCTAGATCGGCTCTGACTCAAGAAGCTGTGTAATTTGCAGACACCTACACCTTACTGCAGAGAGCAGTTTCAGCTATCTTGAGAAGACTGAACTAGATTCTCCCATATGGTACTGTTGCTCTAAAATGCAGCAGTAAGTGCTGTGCATCTTTATTTAAGAAAATGATGCTGATGTATTCTGATTTGATACCATAATTATTTTAGTTTCCTGACTTAAAAAATAGATCTGGAGTCTAAAGCCTCTTGTTTAGCTGGAATTACTGTTTAACTATGCTGTTGCTTTTGTTTTACCCAAAAAGTCTCAACTTCCATGTGTGTGCAATGCCACAGTGGACCCTAGCATTCAGCTGGCCTCTTATCTTACCACGATACAAGTAATAAACCATAAGTCCTTGAAAAAAAGCATTTGGTGCAGCACAGTCCATGGCAAGAACACTCATTAAAATGTAGTCAATAAATAACTAATGCAGGGCTACGTTACTCAAATAGGTGTCAGTTGGGTAAAGGAGAAGAAAGAACCTACTCAGATGTGGTACCTGTAGATGTGGGATTTTAAGAAGTAATGCCAAGTTCATTAACTTCTGGTGATTTAATATACTGTGCTGTTTTTCCAGAGGGTAAGGTTGCTAAGTTTGCTTCACTGGCCATATTTTGATGTACAGCCTTGCACTGGCCTGCCTAGATTCCACCTTGTCTTTTATTGGATCATCTGCTTCCTGCCCAAAGCTGTTGTGTTGAAAAATCAAGAGTTCAAGGAGATCTTGAGCTTAAAGCCTTGGCTCGTCACTGATTTGACAAGTGACCTGAGCAAGTTACGCAGTCCTGCTTACGTCAGCTAACCTTTCTGTGAAATACAGAAAATGATACCTGTCAGGCTCAGAAATCTATAGAGCAAAACTATTCTAAAGGGAATATAATGATTCAGAATGATTAATTTGATTGACTTCATCTACCTACAGGCTTGCAAAACACCTGCAATTTCACAAATGTAGTAAGTGAATGTAGTCGCAGTATTTTATTCTCTGCACCCGTCAGGAAATTCAGGCTGTGTCACTTGAATATAAATGACAGAATCAATGCTACACGCATCATGTTGTACGTGGGTTGACGTACATGAGCTATCTTCCGTCAGTAAACCCCAATGTACAAAATTTCTCTCATATCTTGTATCTGTTGTGTGGCTGCATAACCACGTATCTGTATTTGCTCTACCACTTTTTCCTGGCCAAACAAAACTTTCACCTGCTCAACTGTTCCTGTGGAGAGGTTGCAGAAAGCAAATTCATTTAAAGGTTTGCTCTGATATTCATGAAAAACTTGACGTATTTGCATATCTGAATCAGGTAACGTAAACTTCTTACAGATACAAAATGTTGCATATGTGGTATCTCAGACAATAACTCTTCAGAGAGAGTGAATAGATATGCTGTGTTTTTGCTTTGTGATCCTCTTCGGAGTAATGAAAAAAACTGAGTGTGAAAATTCGGTTTAGGGAAGTTCTGGATAACAGTCGGAGAGGCTTTTTCAATGCCTGTGATAAAGGCTAGGTAGAAAAAAATCTAGTGCTTCATAGTAGTAGCTGAAGTATTTGAACTAATTGTTACGGAAGAGTAAGGCCTTAGTCTTAACAATTAATACAATGAGAAGAGACATACAACACAGACCTGCAGGTCTTATGTAGTTAAAATCTCACTGATCTTGAGCAGAGACTCTACCCAGTAACGTATGCTGGACAAGACATTAGTTATGAATTCAGTGGAACAAAAATGTGGTAAAATGGAATGAAGTTGCTTTTTCTGGTTTACATTATTTCGAAGACATTGAATACAGACCAATGTTGCCAACTTCATGTGTCTTCTAATGCTGTAACATTGCTTTTTCTTTCTTTTTTTTTTTTTTTTAAGTCCCAGCTTCTGGAGCTGTGTGATTACCTGACAGTCTTACTTTGTATTAGAAGGTATATTTATAGGTTGTGGGAAAAGCCTGGAATAAGAATTTCAAAGTACAAGATTGACAAGAACAGCAA